GGTGAGTATCTTGAAGACAGCAGATACTTGTTTGGTGGATTTTTATCCATTCTGTCATTCTGAAAATTTTTTTTTTTTTTTTTTTTTTTTAAGACAGGGTTTTACCATGTTGGTCAGGCTGGTCTTGAACTCCCGACCTCAGGTGATCCACCCTCCTTGGCCTCCAAAGTGCTTGGATTACAGGCGTGAGCCACCACTCCTGGCCCATTCTGAAAATTTTAAGTGGAGCATTTAGGCCATTTACATTCAACATTAATACTGAGATTTGAGGTACTGTTTTATTCATAATGCTAGTTGTTGCCTGAATACCTTTTTTCACTGTGTTACTGTTTTATAGGCCCTGTGAGATTTATGCTTTAAGGAGTTTCTAATTTGGTGTATTTAAAGGTTTTGTTTCAAGATTTAGAACTCCTTTTAGCAATTCTTATAATGCTTGTTGGGTACCATCCCCAACCCCGAACGTGGGTGCCCTTAGTACTGGCAGTGATGAGGGATTGAGAAAAGGAAATAAAGACAGAGACACAAGAATAGAATTTACAGCATCGGTCTAGGGGACCAGGGCAAGCATGGGAATCATGTTGGCCCCAAGCTCTGGGCTCTAAACACTTTTATTATTTTCATAATCTCATTGGGGAGGGTGAAGGGGTTGGTAAGATGTCAGGGGAGAGCACTTATAATCTTTCTAAAACATGCTAAATTAGTGCTCTGAGCATTTAACAGCACTTGAGATCCTTCTAAAACATGCTAAACTAGTACTCTGAGTTTATCACAGATTGTTATCAGGGTGCTGCATCAGAAGTATAGCTGATGAGGAGCCACTGGGTCTGACCACACCCAATGCATCAAGGGGCTTTTATCTCCCTAGCATTGAGGACATATAGAACAATTAAAATCACTCCATATTCGGAGACCCTAGGCAGAGCCTGAGGTGTTCTGTGATCTCTGCCCTGCAAGGCTTTTGTCCTCCTTCCAGCTCCCATCTGCAAAGACCCTCCCAGATCTTGTGAGCAGAGGTGGCCTCCCTTCTCAGAGATCTTTGCATAAGCCTTCTTTACAAGACTCCTGCAGTCTCCATGTTGAGAAGGCATTCGTGGGACCAGGGCAGTATTGCCTGCTCTGTAACCACCCCAAGGTGTTCCCCGGATGTCTTTGCCTTAGGCTTCCTGTTGCCGCTTGATTTCTAATTAACTGCACCAATAATATAGTTTAGTTCAGTGTATAAACTTCAGGGTACTCAGAGTCAAGCAAGCTATAATTATTTAGCTAGAATTAACATAGGTCTCCCTCTGGCCATCTTGACCCACAGTGCTGGCTTGGTAGTGGTGAATTGTCTCAGCATTTATTTGTCTGAAAAATACTTTATTTTCCCTTCATTTATGAAGCTTAGTTTTGCTAGATACAAAATCCTTGGCTGGCAATTATTTTGTTTGAGGAGGCTAAAGATAAATCCAGTCCTTTCTGGCTTGTAAGGCTTCTGCTGAGAAATCTGTTGTTAATCTGATAGGTTTTCCTTTATACGTTACCTGATGCTTTTGCCTCACAGCTTGTAAGATTCTTTCCTGCTGGGCGTGGTGGCTCACACCTGTAATCTCAGCACTTTGGTAGGCCGAGGTGGGTGGATCACCTGAGGTCAGGAGTTCAAGACCAGCCTGGCCAACATGGTGAAACTCTGTCTTAGAAAAAAAAAGAAAAAAAAAATTATTTCCTTCATCTTGACTTTAGATAACCTGATGACTATGTGCCTGGGTGATGATGTTTTGTGATGAATTTCCCAGGTGTTCTTAGAGCTTCCCGTATTTGGATGTCTAGATCACTAGTGAGGCCACGGAAGTTTTCCTTGATTATTCCTTCAAATATGTTTTCCAAACTTTTAGATTTCTCTTCTTCCTCAGGAACACCAATTATTCTTAAATTTGGTTGTTTAACATAATCTCAACTTTCTTGGAGGCTTTGTTAATTAATTAATTATTTATTTTTTTGAGATGGAGTCCTACTGTGTTGCCCAGGCTGGAGTGCAGTGGTGCAATCTTGGCTCACTGCAACCTCCACCTCCCTGGTTCAAGCAATTCCCCTGCCTCAGCCTCCTGAGTAGCTGGGATTACAGGCGCATGCCACCATGCCTGGCTAATTTTTTAGTAGAGACAGGGTTTGTTGTCTTTTTAGTAGAGACAAGGTTTCACGATGTTGGCCTGACTGATCTTGAACTCCTGACCTCAGGCAATCCGCCCGCCTTGGCCTCCCAAAGTGCTGGGATAACAGGCATGAGCCACTGCACCCGGCCTCTTTATTTTTTTTTAATCCTTTTTTCTTTGTCCTTGTCTGACTGGGTTAATTTGAAAGCCTTGTCTCCGAGCTCTGAAGTTCTTCTACTTGTTTGATTCTATTGTTGAAACTTTCCAGTGCATTTTGTATTTCTCTAAGTGTGTCTTTCATTTCCAAGTGTTGTGACTGTTTTTTCTTTATGATATCTATTTCTCTGGAGCATTTTTCATCCATATTCTGTGTTGTTTTTAAAATTTTCTTTCTCTGTTATCTTTTAGAGTAGTTTAATAATCACCCTTCTGAGTTTTTAATCTGGCAATTCTGAGATTTCTTGTTGCTATGCTAAAAGTTTCTTTTGGATACATACATGGAAATGAAATTGCTGGATTAGCATAGCATATATGCTATGCTAAAAGTTTCTTTTGGATACATACATGGAAATGAAATTGCTGGATCATAGAAATATGAGCGTTTCATTTTTCAAAATAATCCTAAGTTATTTTTCCAATGGTTAAACAAATTTGCCAGATTCTATGCTTAGAATGGTATTTCCTAGGTTACTTTCCAAGGTTTTTAGTTTTAGGTTTTACATTTTAGTCTTTAATCCATTTTGAGTTGATTTTTGTATATGGTATAAGAAAGGGGTCCAGTTTAATCTTCTGTATATGGCTAGCTAGTTACCCCAGCACCAATAGGGAATCTTTTGCCATTGCTTGTTTTTATCAACTGTGTTGAAGACCAGATGGCTGTAGGTCATTCTTAAACTGCTGGATAAAATAGAGCACAACAACTTAGTATCCGAAGTTACTCTTTGTATTTCTTTTTTTTTTTTTTTTTTTTTTTTTTTTTTTTTTTATATATATATATATAAAGACGGGGTTTCACCATGTTGGTCAGGCTGGTCTTGAACTCCCGACCTCAGGTGATCCACCCACCTTGGCCTCCAAAGTGCTCGGATTACAGGCGTGAGCCACTACGCCCGGCCAACTCTTTGTATCTCTTATACAGAATTACACTGGTCCACCTTTCATCATATCACTAAGGAAATCAGATCCAAGTTACCTTATGTGTTCATTCATACAGCAGTCAAAATGAATGAATTACATGCAACCACATGTATTGAGAACATATGAATGCAGTTACATGCAACAACATGGATTAATATAGCAACAAAATGTTGAATAAAAAGGCAAGTTGAAGACTATATGTAGTATTACATCCTTTTTAGAATATTTAAATATAAGCAAAATTAAACAATATGTTACTTAGACATACTATGTATGTGATAACACAAATGTGCAAGAACAAAATTCAGGACAATGACTACCTCAGGAAAATGAGGATGACAGTATGAGAAGAAAAGGAGCACACAGATCTAAATCAATGGTAATTTTCTAGTTCAGTATTTCTCAAACTTTAATGTGCATCAGAATCACCTTAAAATCTGAATTACTGGGCCCTACCCCAAGAGTTTTCTGATTCAGTAGGTGGGGGTGGGGTCTACCGAGGGAAGTTCCAGGTGCTGTTAGTTCTGCTGCTCTGGGGACCACACTCTGAAACCATTTCTAGTTCTTAGGTTGGGTTATAGGTTCATAGTTGCTCCATTCTATTTTATTATTAAACGTATATGCCACTTAAATGAAAAAAAAAAAAAAAAAAAAAAAAAAAAATCAAAGATGAGAGTGTGTTATGAACCACGGATTAACATTAATTCAATTCTGGGCTCCTGAGGTTTCCTCCCCTAAAAAATATTCTAGGGTTCCATTACTAAAAGCAAACTTGAAAAACACTGTTTGAGCTTCAAGACCATTAACAAAATTAACTATTTTTGAGAAATACATTTGAAAATTATTCTTTATGTGCTCAGTGACAGCATATTGTACTCCACTTTCCTGGATCTCAAACTTTGGCAAGAACTTGGCAGATCACAAATCTACTTTTGTTGATTCGACAAAAAGTGTTTAGAGAAAAGACTTCTCTTACTTTCTCTCAGTTCTTATCCTTCTCTCAAGTGCTGCAGGTAATGATTTTTCTTCTTTTCTCTCTCCTTCCCTTCCAGATTGATTTAGGCTCTGAGATAAAATTTAGATGACATTTTAGGTATTGACTGGGGCATGTGCAGAGCCATACTCTGTCCTGCAGTATGCCAGCGGACGGGGTTTACACAAACGCCTCAATATAAAACTCTTGCCTACAAACAGCTCAGCCTAGAGGGGGCATCAGATCATAAATATAAAATTGCCATCCAGGCCAGGCACGCCTGTAATCACAGCACTTTGGGAGGCTGAGGAGGGCGGATTACGAGGTCAGAAGATCGAGACCATCCTGACCAACACAGTGAAACCCCGTTTCTACTAAAGTACAAAAAATTAGCCGGGCGTGGTGGTGCGCGCTTGTAGTCCAGCTACTCGGTTTACTGAGGCAGGGGAATCACTTGAATCGAGAGGCGGAGATTGCAGTGAGCCGAGATTACGCCACTGCAATCCAGCCTTGCGACAGAGCTAGAATCCGTCTTAAAAAAAAAAAAATTCCAATCCAAGCAGGAAACACAGTATGTTATACAAAGGCAAAGAGGTTCGTCTTCTTTCATAACCTCTCCTAAACGCGGTAGCTAGGAGGTATTTTTCCGGTCAGCCACCGACCGCAGGGCGCCTCCGGCGCCGCGGCTTTTGACCCGGGGCGGGCGCAGGCGCGGGAGGAGCGGTGAGGGAGGGCACTCGGAGCTGCGTTTCATTGGCTTTCCGGCCGGAAGCCGCGGCGCGACCTGGCTGCGCGTGCGCCTGTCACACGTGCTGTCAGAACGCCGCCGCCTCCGCTTCGGGCAGGTCTGTACCATGCTGCGACCATCTGTCCTCCGGCTGCTAAAACGCACGGGGGCTAGTAGGCTCTCTCTCCTGGAGGACTTCGGCCCACGCTACTACGGTTCGGGCTCTCTCAGTGCCCGCGACGATGCTAGTGATGGGCGCGCCTACTTCACTACACCCATTTTCTACGTGAACGCGGCGCCGCACATCGGGCACCTGTACTCGGCACTCCTGGCGGACGCCCTTTGCCGTCACCGTCGCCTCCGAAGTCCCAGCACGGCTGCTACGCGATTCTCCACTGGTACCGACGAGCACGGGCTGAAGATTCAGCAGGCAGCAGCTACTGCGGGCCTGGCCCCGACTGAGCTGTGCGACCGAGTCTCTGAGCAGTTCCAGCAGCTTTTCCAGGAGGCCGGTATCTCCTGCACTGATTTCATCCGCACCACGGAGGCCCGGCACCGGATGGCTGTGCAGCAATTCTGGGGGGTGCTTAAGTCCCGGGGTCTGCTCTACAAGGGCCTCTATGAAGGTTGGTATTGCGCCTCCGACGAGTGCTTCCTGCCTGAAGCCAAGGTCACCTGGCAGCCGGGCCCATCGGGGGATTCGTTTCCTGTGTCTCTCGAGAGTGGGCATCCAGTCTCCTGGACCAAGGAAGAAAACTACATTTTCAGGCTCTCCCAGTTTCGGGAGCCACTCCAGCGGTGGCTGCGGGGCAACCCTCAGGCGATCACCCCCGAACCATTCCATCACGTAGTTCTACAGTGGTTGGACGAGGAGCTGCCCGACCTATCCGTGTCTCGCAGAAGTAGCCACTTGCACTGGGGCATTCCCGTGCCCGGGGATGACTCGCAGACCATCTATGTATGGCTGGATGCCCTGGTCAACTACCTCACTGTAATTGGCTACCCGAATGCTGAATTCAAATCTTGGTGGCCGGCCACCTCTCATATCATAGGTAAGGACATCCTCAAATTCCATGCCATCTATTGGCCTGCCTTCCTTTTAGGGGCTGGCATGAGCCCACCACAGCGCATCTATGTCCATTCCCACTGGACAGTCTGTGGCCAAAAGATGTCTAAAAGCTTGGGCAACGTGGTGGATCCTAGGACGTGCCTTAACCGCTATACTGTGGATGGCTTCCGCTACTTTCTCCTTCGGCAGGGCGTCCCCAACTGGGACTGTGACTACTATGATGAAAAGGTGGTTAAGTTGCTGAACTCCGAGCTTGCAGATGCCTTGGGAGGTCTCTTGAACCGATGCACTGCCAAAAGAATAAATCCTTCTGAGACCTACCCGGCCTTCTGCACTAACTGCTTCCCCAGTGAGCCAGGGTTGGTGGGGCCATCAGTTCGTGCTCAGGCAGAGGATTATGCTCTGGTGAGTGCAGTGGCCACTTTGCCAAAGCAGGTAGCAGACCACTATGATAACTTTCAGATATATAAGGCTCTAGAGGCCGTTTCCAGCTGCGTCCGGCAAACTAATGGTTTTGTCCAAAGGCATGCACCATGGAAGCTGAACTGGGAGAGCCCAGTGGATGCTCCCTGGCTGGGTACTGTGCTTCATGTGGCCTTGGAATGTTTGCGAGTCTTTGGGACCTTGCTGCAGCCTGTCACCCCAAGCCTAGCTGACAAGCTGCTGTCCAGGCTGGGGGTCTCTGCCTCAGAGAGGAGTCTTGGAGAGCTCTATTTCTTGCCTCGATTCTATGGACATCCATGCCCCTTTGAAGGGAGGAGGCTGGGACCTGAAACTGGGGTTTTGTTTCCAAAACTAGACCAGTCTAGGACTTGGGTGGTGAAAGCCCACAGGACCTAGAAAATCAGTTCTCATCGGTTTGTGGTCAAAACATTATTTTTTTGATTTTTCATTTTCAGGAAAGTTAGACTAGTGTTTCTAGTGTGGAATCAAATGAGCACATAAACTGTCCCCATGAAAAGAGGTTTGTAGCCTTTCAGGTGCCTACCCCTGTTCTTCATTTCTCTGTGACTGTTGAATGTTGTCCTTTGTGCACTGTGTGTCTAAGATGTCTTGAGGGGAAAGATGGGTAAGAGACAGTGTTGCTAATGCTGTTTCTTCTTTGTGCCTCCTTCCAAACCAAACTACCTCTCGTGGCTTCTCATTGGCCTGGCCTTTGCTTCTCAGGCTAATTAGTGCAGTGACTCCTTTCATTGAGGGTTAGGGTTGGAGGCCCCTTACAGGGGCTTTTACAGGGGGACCCTATTTTGTTACACATATTGAGTTTCCTGATTAAAAAGAGAATATTTTATTAAACCTCTGAACCAGTGTCCTAGACCAGATGATTTTTGCCCTTGTGCATCCCCATTTAAGTTCTTGCAACTAGGGCTCCCTGCTTTGTTAATTATCCAACAGTTGGATTTTGTAACATCACACTTCAACTGGTAGATGGCTCTAGTCTCACACATTAATTACTAAAGATTGCAGTTTCAGAATATTTAGAATAAATTAGTTTTCTGCTTTTTAATTTTGCAGATCTTTACATTTTTATTGCTTTTCTTAAAATGAGGGATAGCTCTGCAACCACTACTCTTTTAATGTAAAGCAAAACACCCCCAAAACTTATTAGAATCTTTGTTCTTTTTCAGACTACTGAAAAATGACATTTATTCTGTTAAATGTTTAACAAGTGAATAAGTAAATGTGTCAGGTTGTTTATATGATAAATTATAAAACCCTCTTGAGGCACTTCGTATGTTAAAGTTTTAAACTTTAATAACATTAGGTTACGTGTATGATTAAAAAATTTGTAAATAGTTCAAAAGGGCAATATTTTCTTTATATTTCTTATATTCTTAGATTTTTTTTGATCAGGATCTATAATACAATATAGAATTTGTGTAATTGTTATTAAAATGTTAATATACTTATTAAGTAATTTTAACTGATTATTGCTTTTGCTCTTTTAACTTAAGTTATTAAAGTTTAAAAGTTTGTAAGTACCTTATTCAGACCTGTTCTGTTGCATTTGTTGAAGGTGATGGTGAAAGGAGGGAGTGACCAATGCTCCAGGAATCTCGTACTGGATTTAGGGTTCTCTCCAAGGCTCCATAAGACAGCATCACAGAGAAGATGTAGCAATTTATACAGTAACTACAACATAGTAAGCCAGAGTTTTGTCTCATAGGTGATTGGACAGCTGGGCCAAAGTTCAAAATGAGAACTTGCCTGAGAATATTCATTCTAAGTATGGGCAAGTAGAGAGGGCTCACAGTGAATTAAACTGTTGTACTGGTAGTTCCCCTAGATTTATTTTAGGTACCATCATTCAGTTCTAGTTTCTGTTTATTAATCAGCAAAATGAGGAATTTTTAGTAGCTGGAACATTGCTTAGAATGCTTGAAGTCTTTCTAAAGGTGGAAGGACTATTTCCACAAATGTGCCTTCAGACCCTCCCTGTTCATAAGTCTGAACTTTCCACATGACATATTTAAGTGAACTGCTGGGGTTATTAGCACAGACTACTGGGGCATAGGATAAAGTATAATATTTCCTACAGAGGGATAGAGCAGAGAGTGGTAAAAGATTATTTACATGGATGAAGAAAAACATATTTGAAAACCAGTGAGATAATAACCTCTGCTGTGGAAGAGCCCTTATAGCAGTGTTACAGTTCTTACCATGGATGGAGACAGTGTCTTTCACTTGAATGATCTGTCTTATACCCTAGCGCTAGTCAATGCAATGGACATTTGCTTGCTGGAGGGTGTCAATAGAGTTCTTTTAGTGCAGTCTGTCAGTTGTACAGGCCCTTAGCTGGCTATGGATGTTTGTGGTACTGGAGGGCACAAGAACATAGGGGAACCAGATAGGACAGGGTGTAATTATTACAAAGACAGGATTTTTTTTTTTTTTTTTGAGATGGAGTTTCACTCATGTTACCCAGGCTGGAGTGCAATGGCGCGATCTCGGCTCACCGCAACCTCCGCCTCCTGGGTTCAGGCAATTCTCCTGCCTCAACCTCCTGAGCAGCTGGGATTACAGGCACGCACCACCATGCCCAGCTAATTTTTTGTATTTTTAGTAGAGATGGGGTTTCACCATGTTGACCAGGATGGCCTCGATCTCTTGACCTCGTGATCCACCCGCCTCGGCCTCCCAAAGTGCTGGGATTACAGGCGTGAGCCACTGCGCCCGGCCAAGACAGGATATTTTTAATGGAGGAATGTGTGGTAAGTTGGATCTGACTTCTGTGGTGATTAATTAAAGATGAACCAGTTGGATTCTCTGTAGGAGGCACAATAGATATAGCAAATATTCTTTGGGTACTCAGTGATGTGTTTGAGTTGATCCACTAGTTTAAGAATAGCAAATGGAGAATAGGTGAAAACTGGAGGGTATGTACTTCCAAGAGGAGGCATCCTAACCACTTCTGGTAGAAGATAATACACTTGTAGAATCCTCTACTCCAGCACTGTTAATACTTTATCTGGTTAATACGTTATACTTTTTTTCTGGATCCCTTCACCAGAAAGTAACTGTCTTCTAAATACTACCCTTGAAGTTCTTAAATATTCATTTTGGTATGTTCCTGGAAGCAGTATTGCAGGAGGTCATAGAGCACTGCCTAGATCAGGTATTTGTGGTGTTACGTTAGGAGAGTAAAAAAAGATGTCAACTCACTCAGTATACTATAATCCTCTCTGTGAAGTCATGTGAGAAGGGGCAATTTATATTTAAGTGGCACCACTGTATATTGGAGGGGTGTTTCACAAGTGAACTCATAGATAAGACACCTCAGAAGTCAGAAGACCTGTGGCTATGGAAAGGAACAAGAAATAGACATAATCTCTGATTTTATTGAAACCTCAGTTTATTCTGCATGTAGACCTCATTATTTCTCTCAATCTGTGGACTCTGTAAATTGAATATGAAGCTGATGCCAGAGTACTTAAGACAGGCCTAGGCTGGAACATGGGCACTGGGACACAGGTCTTCCCTTTTTCCCCCACTCCCCACTCCACAAGGCTGTACCTGTGACTGGGACTTAGCTCTTTAGCTCTGGGAAGTTTCAAAACTGAAGTGAAACCAGTAGTTGGTCAGGTTGTGAGCCCTCAATGAGGATGACATCATCATGAAGTAGTACCAAATGACAGTCCCAAGCATTCGACAGGTTCCTCTTTGGGGCATTATGGTAGGGATGGTTTTCTTGATCTCTGACTGCCCCACTTCTACCAAGTATGTAGTGGTGATATTGGCTAGCGTTAGTGTAACCTTGAGTTATGGGGAGGATACGCCTCCTGACTGAGTATCTTATTGGTCCATAAAGCTGACGTATGATAATCTGTAATTTCCTCCCAGAGGCAATACCCTATGATCCATAGTTCTACTGGATAATAGAACAACTCTCTATTAGTGAGGCCTGGGGTGCTGGTGGGTCCTTGCCTTGTCTTTTGCCAGAAAGTGAGTATCAATGGACCTAAAAGAGTGTAGACATATTGACAGCAATTTGTCTATTTTTGCAGCAATGGTTTACTAGTTCAGAGAGCTTGGGAGGAGCTAGGACACAGGGGTAACCAAGAGCACAGATTCTAGAAGAAAGCCCTTGAGTCTCTTGTAAAACTAAGATAATATATGTAATTTCAGCACTACAATATTCACCCTGTCCCTTCCTCTTGCAGGAAGTTTGGAGAGGATTGGTTAACTCTTATCAAGAGGAACACACCAAATTTTGAGGTTGTTAACAGTAACAATCAAGTTAATTAAGGTTAATGGGAACTTTAACCTTTTAAGAAGACTATCTTATTCTTTCTGGAGACAGAGGATAGGAGAAGCCCAGGTTAGGCTTCCTTCCTATGTCACCAATAACTACTTTAAGCAGAGGGGAAGGGACTAACTAATTTAGAGGTGAAATTAACTTCTTCTCTTTAGTAGGTAGTTTTGGGTTACCCAGAATAGATCCTTTCAATTAAAGGAACTACCTAGCAGGAAACAGTTGGCCCTATTTAAATACTTTGTTTAGGATTGTATCATACTAGTTTCTACATACTTTTCATGATGAGGGAAGGGAACTGGGAGGAATTACACGCCAAGATCTTCCTATTGCCCCAACAACTAGAAATAATATATCCTCTACCATGCCTCTTCTGATGAGTACCAGTTGGGAGGTTCAGCCATACCTGGATGTTCACCAAGGTAAGCAAGGCATAGTAGTTATGTTTCATCCTTGGCGTTGAACTGAATTTCATCCCCTTAGCTAATGGCACAGTTTACTCACCATGGATTTTAAAGTCCACTGCTCCTCACTTAAGAACAGGATGGTGTGAGATGTCAAGATGTTTCAGGAAACCAAGTGTACCATCTGCAGGAAGAAAATTATGCCTCCAAGGAGAGATGAGCCTTGCCCTTGAGTCATTTCTGGATGAAGTATCTGCAGAGGGCCTGAAAGACTCACTGGGTAAGCTGAAGAGACAGACCAGGAGTAACTATGGAAATGGAGGATACCACCTTTCTTAGAGTATGATGTGGGAGAAATGGTACTAACACCTCTGTGCTACTACTATTAAGGCCATGCCTTGTGCATGTACCCCTCATTAGTTGAGAATCAATTGTTTATGGGATTTAATATGATAATGAACCTTCAAAAACTAGATAATGTTTGCTATAGGTTGATATCATCATATTATTCTCTTAATACATTCCACAAAAATATGACCAATTACACATTTTTTCCTGATTAAAATATTTTTGGACCACATTAAATAAAACAGCTTCAGTAGTTTGGCTTCCTTTGAAACCAATCTAGAAGCTTCTATTGGTTAAAAAGCTATAAATATTAAAAATATAAAGTTAATAAACATGGTATACATCGTAGGTTAATCACAAAAGAATACAATTAGAATGTATTTCTTTCAAGCCAGATGAAGAGAGGTGAAAGAAAACAATCCAACAGAAGCAAGGAAGGAGAAATCCAATAGAAGACAGGAAGGAAAAAAAAGAGGCAAAGAAAAAGGGAAAATATTGTAAATAGAAAACCCACAATAAAATGGCAGAAATAAATACAAACAGGTCAGTAATTGTAATAAAATAAAACTTCGTATGAGTCTTCTCAAAAGACAAACTGCCCAAAATTAAATTTAAAAAGCTGGCTATATATGTAGTTAAAAAGGATATACTTAAACATAGAAGAAAATAAGACATAGGAAGAAACACTAGGCATATATTATCCAAAAGAAAGCGGGTATAGCAATATTAATATACAATCTATACTGGGGGAAACCATTACTAAAAAAGTGAAATTGAATATAAAGGGAATAATGCATAAAGTTACAATTATAAACTTGTATGATCTAACCACATTGCCTCAAAGCGTAAAAAGCTAAGATTGAAAATTACAAGAAATGTTCAAGTCTGCAAAAAAAAAAAAACAACAAAACAAAACAAAACCCATGACAGTAAAAGTATAGCAACTCATACTAGACATTAGCATTTCAGTCTTTAATGCTTACTACTAATTGTATCATTACCACTAAGTGTAGGAAAAAAATTATGACAGTCAAGGTTTTGGGACTCTAAAACTTTGTCTTTTTCCATCTATAACTTTGTGAAAATAACACCTTGCTTTTTTAATATAATTGTCAGCCAAATATACCTGTTCAGTAAGTCTTCTTTGGGTTATTAAAAGGGGGGAATCACATGGCCATAATTTTGCCAAGTTTTCTGTTCAGTAATAAGTGAAG